CTATTCTGTGGATTGTCTTCACTTTCTTGATGGTGTCCTTTGAAGCAAAAAAGTTTGATTTTGACAAAGTTCAATTTTCTATTTTTTTTATTTAGTGTTTATGCTTTTGGTGTCATATAGTTTGTTCATTCTCAATGACGATGTCTCAGTTTGCCTTCTTTCTATAGCAAGAACTGGCCTCAGCAATGAGAAACATCGCTTGTGATGGTGGGAAGAACAGAATCTGACCAGAGAGCACTAGCTCCTCCCCGAAGTCAACAAACGCTGCTAAGAAAGGTAATAACCGTAACTAACATGCACTGCACGGTGGCTGTGTGCCAGACATTGTGCTCAGCTCTGAAAGCATCACTTTTTGTTTGTTTGTTTCTTTGAATCCTCACAACAGACCAACGACATTGTTGTTTCCACTTGACACCTGAAGAAATTGAGACCCAGAGTAAGTGATGTCCTCAAGAGCCTACAGCTGGCAAGGAATGGTGCCAAGGTGGCAAATTCAGTCTTGATTTTCATGGGCTTGCACTGACCCCACTAGTTTAAAGTCCCCAGGGCACCCATTCCTTAAACATGCAGTAGACACTCCACATATATTTTTGACAGGCTAATATGGAATAGGCATCATGCTAGGTATTGGTGAACAAATCAGACACAGTCTTTGCCCTCATGGAACTCACAGACTAGGAGAGAGATTGACAATAGGCAGAATCACACGAACGAATGTAAAATGCCCCCTGGGATCAGTGCTGTGAAGAGGTACCCAGTGCTATGAGAGCTTTTAACAAGGAGATCCTATTCTGGAGGAGGGCAAAATGGAAGACTTCCCAGAAGTGATGCTTGAACTGAGATCTTCCGGAGGACTCTGGACTATTTGAGGGGAGAGCTTGGCAAAGAACATTCCAGGAAAAGGAACAGCAAGTTCAAAAGCCCTGAGGCAGGAAAGAAAAGATGTGTTTTTGCTAGTAGATTTTATTAATTGTCAGGAAATCTGCACTTGATGTGCGGATTTGGGGAAATCCCATAGATGCAAAATAAAATACATACTGTGCATAATAATCTTTATCTGAGATGATTAGTGGACTTTAGAATTTATTTAGATATGCAGCCATCAGCAACCATGATTTAATTATTCAACAAACATGTCTCAAAGGAATCTTGGCCGTGGTTGAGGGAGAGAGGAGTAGAAGTGCAAGGAATTGAGCCCACAGAGGGCAGCAGGAGCTGGAGCCAGCAAAGCTTTGGAGGAGTTGGGATATTTTCCCAAGACTGACCCATAGGAAGCCACGAGTAGGTTATTAAGAAGAGAAGTGACAATGATAGGATTTATTTTGACAAGTGGAGGGAGCATTCTAGGGAGAGTGGATTGGTAGGGAGCAGAGTAGAAGCAGGGAGAAGAGGTAGGAGGCCATGGCAGTGGTCCAGCAAGAAATAACAGTGGTGTGGAAGAGGATGGGGGCAATGGGAGGAGAGACACAGCATATTGTGTCCATTTAGTTGGTGGGTGCTCACCAAGTACCTTCTCTGCCTGGCCTGCGACTCAACCCCTGGGCTTGCTCTCTGCACCCCTCCCAAGAGGGCAGTGTGGCTTGCTCAGGCCCCTGGGTTTATGTGCCTTCTCGTTCCTCAGTGGCCCCTGCTCCCCACAGCCCAGGCTGTTCAGCTTGGCTCCCAAGGAGGTCTTTTTGTCCAGTGAGTGGGTCTGAAGAATGACGGAGCCGTCACTAATCTGATCCTGCTCCTGCTTGCTGAGGAGGCTGCTTGGTGGGGGTGGCTCTGGTGTGCTCCTCCCGCTTGTGTTCACTGCAGGCCCCAACCCAGAGGAGAGCTAGAGGATTACTGCTCGGGGCTCCCTGCCCTGTCCTCCCCGACAACAAATGACGAGAAAGCTTGAACTTTCTTCTTTCGCAAGGAGACACACTTCTGTATGTGAGATAGGGAGAGAATATATTTTCAACCTGCTTTTTGCCGTGATAACAGGCATACAATCCTGTCAGAGAAAATTGGAAAGTACGAGAAAATATAAGGACGCCTAATCATTATTCATAATCCTACCCTGCCTTTTTGGGTATTTGTCCAGTCATATATACTTATCTTTAAATAGGTCATATATACTCAGTAGACTTTTGTGCATCTTGCTCTTTTCACTTTGTGTTTTAAGCATTTCCCTGTGTCATTAAAATCTTTTCACACACAATTTTTAGTATCTGCAAAGTAGTCTTTTTTGAAAACATATTTTACATAACCTTTCCTATTTGTTGCACATTTGGCTTGTGTGTAAGTTGTACCATTACAAGGAGGTGTGTACGCATCTTTGTTTATAAATCTTTGCTACATTTTGGATGCCCTCTCACCCTGTAGATTTCGGGAAGGGAGATTAATGAGGGGAGTTATACAGACAGGACAGGAAAGAAAATCTCTATGTAGGATAATTCCCACCAAAAGGTAGCTCTGCTCCTGTCAGGGGAAACTAAAAGGTGAGCTGGTCTTCTCTCCTGTTAAGAACCCCATGCTCCCACGTCACTTAACCATTCACCAAGCAGGGGCTTCTAGGTGTCTGTGTGGCAGGAATTACCTCTTTTCTCTAGAGGCCCTGATGGATTAAGGGCTTGAGAGGCAGCTGGGGCTGGGATTTCATCGGTTTCTCCCCTCTTGTGGCAGAGGGAGAGCCCCCCAGGCTGGTTCCGCAGTGGGGCTGTCGAACCAGCTAAGCAACCTTGAGCACTGTCATTTCCCCTTTAGGGGCCAGTTTCCTCATATGTAAAACAAGCCGGAGGAGGCAGGAGTGGGGTTTGACCAGAATTTGTTATTGTTGCCATTTAAGTAGCAGAACTCTTATTTCAAATTAAATCTCACCAGAACCCCAATCTATAAAGGGGTGAAGGGGCACTTGTCCCGGTAGAAGTATGTAGGGGAGGAGCCCGGGTGCTCTAGTTTGAAACCTCCGGCCTGGAGGATGGAAGCTGCACTCCAGTTGAGTTCAGTTCTTTTCGCTATTGCTGGAGTTAAAAAGAAAATTATCTTTCATCTATATTTAAATCTTCCAAATGTAATTGATGAAATCTTTTCTCTTAAAGGCGATTTGGGAATCCGACAAAGCGCAGCACAAAGCCATGGATGTTTAGAGAGGGAGTGAGCGGTAAGTGAGACCCGCTGAAAGGGTGACCCTGGCACTTCTAAGAAGGCAGCAGCACAATGGACTCTTCCAAAGGAGCACTGTCAGTTTATTCCCCCGTTGGCACCGCCCCCTCAGTGGGGTGGAATTGCTTGTTGTCACCCTCCCTTTCCTGGAGTCATTTCAGACCAAACTTGTGTCCCCAATTGCTAGCAATTTGAACCCAGAGTAACCTACGGACAGGTATTTTATTGAGGCCCAAACACTGTGAAAGATATGAATAGCGGGGTGGATATGACAAGAGTTTCCTCCCGCCCCTGGGACATGGAGCACGGGGTGGGAGGAGTAGGGGGAGGCTCACCGACGCAGCGACCTGTGGATTTGCTCCGATCACAGCAGCAAGGGTTGCAGCACCAACCCCCGAGGTCTGTGGTCCTGGGACGGGGACAGGAGGGAGTGGCACAGAGGCCTCGCCCAAGCCCGGACGCAGCAGGTCCGGGATGAGCACCGGGTTGAGGGCAATGCGCCGGGGTCTGTAAATCACCGTCGGGAGCATTCCCAGCCCAAGCTGAACAGTACGGGGTGGGGTGGGGTGCGGTGGGTGGAGGAGGCAGTGCCAGCGTCTGCGGGGGAGGGGTGGCGCTGCCTTCCCTGGGAGACCCGACCTTTCTTGGGGAGGCGTGGTGAGCTTAGTCTCCGGGATCCGCAGTGATGTGTAAAAAGCGGGCACGACCCCCGAAGCCGCGGAAAGCCCCCGCCCCTCCCCCCCGAGGCCTGCCCCGGCCCGCAGGTGAATGGCTGGCCCGCACAAAGGAAGCCGGTTGGAAATGTGGAATTCGGACCAATTTACGGGAGATTCTGTCGCCCAGAGTCCCAGCAGACCTCAAGCAAAGAAACCTGTGGTCAGGAGTGTATGAGGATAAAAACAGAGCACCAAGCCAAGCTTACTGGAAAGACTGAGTTTAGTTATTCTGGGATAGCGAGGTAACAGGATTAAAGGGATTAAGGAAATCACCTCAAACAGCCGAGGAGGGGGTAAAAAAACACTCGTTCTATTTGTTTTCTTCCTCGGCCCCAAACAGATACACTGGGGCCTTGTGGCCAGGCGGGAAACGCAGGGCCCTTGGGGGGCACAGTGGAATGCCCGAGGGTCAGGGATTGGGGGAAAATTGGGGGGGGGAGTAGAATGCGGCCTCGAGGCTTGAGATGAGTCTCTTCTAGAAGACAAATACGTGGACTAGGTTGACAAGTCAAGTAGAAAAAGCCATCGCAGGAGTTTTAGACATCTTTTAAAATCTAAGGCGTACTTCATAAAACCAAACCTTCTAGTGTTGAATGCTGGCTCCGCCGCTTCAGCCGCCACGGTTGAAATGTACTTATTTCCTGCTAGGAATTCCTGTAACCATTTATTTTTAATAGGATCATTGAGATTTCCGAAGGGTTTTCGTTTTGTAAATATTTCAGCTCGGCTCAAGTGTCTTCCCGCCCCAGTGCACAAAGGTAAAGGTGCCCTTTGGGGGCCGGTTTCCGCGGCCGCGGGTGGCCCCTCCCCGGCCCGCGTGGCGGCCGCAGCAGACACGCCTTCAGCGGCTGCTGCCCGCTCTCAACAAGTGCGTGGCCGCGGGGTGTTGGCCTCGGCCAGAGCGTGCCGGCTCCCAGGAGACGCTCCCAGGAAGACAAACCGCTTTCTCCTCGGAGTTTCAGTTGAACACATTGGGAGCCGCTGTGTTTTGGATTACCAGGAGTCAAAAAGAAACCATTTCAGATCATGCCCGCCTTCCCCCAGGTCTCTCCCCGCACCCGGGACAGGACCTTGGTTATAATACCAAGTGATGGTCCCCTCCCCAACCTGCGCCTAAAGTTTCAGGCCCGCAAAATTATCAGGACTCCATTATGTTGGTTATAAAATTTATTGATCTCTCATTTAGGAATTAAGAGTAAAACCTTGAAAACCCTGAAACAAAATAGCCCTTCCCCACTACCCAAACGAAATCCGAATACATTAGCGCGACGAAATATTTATCAAACAGATCACGGCAGAAGTCACCAACTCAACAGCCTAAACGCGGACTGGACAGAAGCTGTCCCGCGGCTAGGGGCGGCGAGGCGGGAGACACACGCAACACCTGGCTATAAATTAACATTGGCCTTAGCTGCCGCGCCCCTCCGCGCGGTCGGCCCCGCAAAAACCCACGAGGAAAACAGATGCAACACGACCGGGGGAGGGGATGGTGCAGTTCTCAGGCCAGCCTCCCCCGAGAGTACGTTTCTCCCATTCACTCACTCCTCGGCTAACAGCAAACTAAGGAGACAACATTTTCAAATGCAACAGAAAAACCCAGGAACCCAGGAGGAGGAGGGGGGCTGCTTTTTCTTTGCAAACATCGCAGCGATTCCCAGCCTACAAAAGGGGAGGGTGGGGCAGCAGCGAGTTCTAGAAAGTCCCATTTCCGCTGCTCCAGACTTCTTTTTGCTTTTGTACAAAACCCGATAGCTACAGCAAAACTTTGTCCTCCCCACCATCGGTACAAGGCAACAGTCCCAGGCAAGCAAAGCTAAACAACAAGGCATCCCAACGTGTGGGTGCGGGGCGGGGTGGGGGAGGAGGGGCGGCGAGCTCAGGCCGGCGCTCAGATGTGGGTCAGTGGCACCGTTCCGTTGACGGCAGTCCCGGCGCCCTGGTAGTGCTGGTGTACGCTGTGCAGGCGGCCGCCTGGCAGCGGCGAGGCGGCGTCAGCCGCGTCCCCGCCGGGCGGCAGGTACATGCTGATCATGTCGCGCAGATCGCCAAGGCACGCGCGCTGCGAGTGCGATGTGATGGCGGGCGGCGGCGAGCTGGGCTCGGTCTTCACCACCGTGCCCATGGGGCCCAGGCTCATGGCGGCGGCGGCGGCTGCGGCGGCGGCGGCGGTGGCGGGCTGCTGCCCGTAGGCGGCGGCGGCGGCGGCAGCGGCCGAGGGCGCCATGCCCCCGTAACCCGAGGCGGCGGCGGCGGCGGCAGCGGCGTTCATGTAGCTCTGAGCGCCGGGCGGCATCATGGGGCTATACTGCAGGCCGGCCATGTCGTAGCGGTGCATCTGCGGCAGCGCGGGCGGCGGCGGCGCGCTGCTCATGGTCGCGGGCTGCGCGTAGCCTAGCTGCTCCTGCACCAGCGAGTACGCGCCGTTGGCCCAGCCGTTCACGTGTGTGTACGTGTCCAGGCGCTGGCCCACGCCCACCGGGCTGCTGGCGGCGGCGGCGGCGGCGGCGGCGGCAGCAGCAGCGGCGGCGGCAGCGCCGGGGGGCAGCAGGCCGCCGGGCAGGGAGTACTTGTCCTTCTTGAGCAGCGTCTTGGTCTTGCGGCGCGGCCGGTACTTGTAGTCCGGGTACTCTTTCATGTGCACAGCGCGCAGTCGCTTGGCCTCGTCTATGAACGGCCGCTTCTCGGCATCGGTCAGCAGTTTCCAGTCGGCGCCCAAGCGCTTGCTGATCTCAGAGTTGTGCATCTTGGGGTTCTCCAGGGCCATCTTGCGCCGCTGGCCGCGGGACCACACCATGAAGGCGTTCATGGGCCGCTTCACGCGATCCTGGTCGCTGCCCCCGCCCCCGCCGCTCGCGCCCCCGCCGCTGCCGCCGCCTGCGTTCGCTCCGCCGCCTGTGTTCGCGCTACTCTTGCCTGCACCGCCCGGGGCTGCGGGCCCTCCCGCGCCTGCCGCTGGGGTGGGTGGCCCGACGGGATTCTTGAGCTCAGTCTCCAGCAGGCTGTACATGGCTGGGGCGGGAAGAAGGTGCGCCAGAGTGGCGGGAGGAGAAGGCGCTCCCGGGGCTGGAGCAGCCACCGTGAAAAGGCCTGGGGACTCCGTCGGAGGGGCGCTTGGGGGCCGGTGGGCCAGTGGGTCGGGCGGGAAAGGCAGGCTTGTCGAAGTGCTCCGCGCCAAGTCAGCAGGAACCCGCGGGCTACTCGCACCTGATGCGTTGTCTCGGGCTGGTCGCATTCGCTGTCTGGCCGGGCGCTTGCCGGGCCCCTTATATACCTGCTCGGATCCCCCGGGGTTGGGGCTCGGTCCGCCCCTCGCCACCCGGAGGCCCCGTGATTGACAGGCTCGCAGTGATGCGCCCTGGCCAATCATCACCGAGCCCCCGTTCGGCCTCGCTGGAAAAAAAAACTTCGGGGAGCCCTTTGGTTCACCCCCACGCCCCTCTTGGGCCTGGTGACGTGATGAGAGTTATTCAGGAGGCAAGAGTCCGGGAGAGCCGCTCCGAGTCCACCAATTAGGGTCTCAAAAAGTTTGAAAGAACGAAACTCAAGGAGGTGATGGAGGGGGGAGGGGGCGAGCGAGCAGGATTGGGGAGGAGGGGGGCAGAGAGGCGCCCAAGGGGTTCAGAAAACAACTTTGCAGCCCTGTCAGGGCCAAGCGGCGCCCGGTCCCGGGGCCACCGTGCAAAGCCTCCTGCTGTCTGTGCAGGAGTCCTCCGACCGCTTCTGCTGCCAGCGCTAGGGACACTGGGCATCGCCAGCTACTCAGGCGGGCTTGGGGACTCAGGGCGCAACGGAGGTGCCCCGGGTTGTGGCTCCGAGAAGCCCTCCCTGGAATCGGCCCTTGTCCAGCCGGACCCTCCGCCGGGAAGCCGCGGGCCAGCGCTCCCAGGACTGAACGGTGGTCAGGGACCTGGATACGGGACACAGGCTTGGGGACCGCGTAGCGCTCGGGGGTGTGGCTCTCCGCCGGTTTGTGTGAGGGCCAGCACTGAGCCGCCCGCCGCCGGGTCCGGGCGGAGGCGCTCCTACGCGGTGGTGCGGGCACTGTGTGTGGGGTGGAGGGGGTGAACCGGCTTTGGCTCTCTCCCTCCAGGCCCCCGCTTAGCGGCCCCTTTTTGTCTCTGCTCTCTGGCCATTTCGGTTTTTCCAGTCCGATGCCCCTGAGGGGGAGGGTCGGGCCCCTTGGAAAATCCGTTTTCATGGCAACACGGAGCCTCTCCAAGTGAAAGAAAAGTTTCTTGGAGGGGGGGACGGTGGCCGGAGAAGAGCCGAGGCCGTCATCGGGGCGGACCGCCCGGCCCCCTCCACTGGCCGCGCACCTGCCAGGACCACTGAGCGCTGCTCTCGCCGCGCCGCCTCCCCGGGGAGCAGGCTCTGCTAACGGATTCCGTCCGTGTCCTTTTTTGTTTTACAGCCTTCCTGAGCGGATCCTCGAGACTCGGAGCGGGACACTCACCCGCATGTTGGGTTGTCTGCCAAAGACTAGCGGCGCGGGAACCCGGGCTGCGGGGAGAGGGAACTCCGACAATCGCCTCAGCCAGCCCAAACGGGTGGCGTAGCGTCTGAAACTCCCGGAGCCTCCCGAGGTGATGGGTGGGAAGGAGAAGCCAGCCGGGCAGAAGTGGCAGAGATTGAAATAAGGTGTCCACGCGGTTTGCGCCCTCGCCCCCCAGCCTCGTGGAAAGGTGGAGAACCAAAAGAAAGGCGTAAATCCCAAGTGTGAAAAAAAATTTACAAAACCCTAGGATTTTAGCTTCTTAGCGCTAATGCAAGACCAGGCGATCCAGGGGCGCCTACAAACCAGGAACTTCCCCCTTTCCTGAACGAAGCCAGAACTATGCCGTTATGGCTTGGGGGGCATAGAGTAGGCCAGCCCCCTCTGGGGCGGACCGTTGGCACCAGAATCCCGACTGCCAGCTGGCATCATCTCCTGGAAGTTTGGGGTCTCAAAACTCGTCCCTTAAGTTTGGGTTCCACCTGGTCTACGTTCTCTTGCTCATCAGGACAGAAGGAAGCAAACGTCCACAGCCAAGGGCTGCGATCATTTGAATGGCTGTGCGGATTTAGGGTTTTAAAGTAAACCATCTGGAGCGGTTCTGTGTATGGGTCTTATGTGTGTGTGTGTGTGTGTACGCTCGTGCGCATACGGGTGTGCACACTTAAGTTGCCGCAGACTGGAATGCATGGCTCAGAAAACGCAATGGTTCGGCAATCCCCACCTGCACCTGTTTTCTTGGCAAACTGGCTGACAAAGTCAAATTTCCCTAGGCAAACCCACCTTCTCCCAAAGAAGTCCATGTGCAGTAGCCCTCCTGCCGCCTTCTCCGGACGCCCTCTCGGGTTCTCTGGGCCTCCAGGGCTGTTGCTAAGTGAAGCGCGTTTTAGGAAACTACCCAACCGACGCGCAGCCTGGCGTCCAGTAGCCTGACAGATGTCAGGATTCTTTCCAAGTTTTAGGACCCAAGTAAGCCGTTGTGGTGACAGCGCCTGGGCTGCATGTTTCCCAAGGCAAGGGATGCGGTGCTGGGCCTGTCCTCCTCCCCGCAGCAGATTATCTGGAGAGCTAGTCACTGCCCCCAGCTGTTTGTCATTTGATCACACCTAGCCCGCGGTTTAGGCGAGCTTATTTTCACATTACATCCTTCTGACAGATTTACGGGAGTCTTTTACTAGGATCAGACACCCTCTCCCCTACTCCTGGCTTCCTTCGGAGGCCGTGATTAAACCGGTCTCGCTGCCTGGTGGCTCTGGGGTGGTCTGCACAGCCCCAAGTAAGAGTCACGCCGAATTTCCCTCGAAACATTTCCGAGGAAACGTCCTCAACCCAAACTACTATTTCAATAAACAAACAAGGTTACCGCTGCGGGCGTGGGGAGGTGGGAGACAGGCTGGAAGGAAACCTGTTCCTCTTGGCTCGCTAGCAGTGAAGGCGCAGGTACCAGCCGAGCGGCGCGACCTTCGCTGGGGGTCGGAAGAAGTGTAGCGGCAGGGACTGCGACCCCAGGGGCCTCGGGTCAGGCGGGGGCTGCGGGGAGGTAAGACAGCCGGCGGAAGCAGAATCGGTGTCTCTGACACCCACCCTGCACCGGGTGAGGAAAGCGGAGGGACACAGCGGGATCTAGGACCAGTCCTCTCCAACCTCTCCCGGAGAAGAGAGCGTGTTCGGTAGCTCTCTCGCCCTTTGGGGCCTCCGGGAGCCCGTGGGCGGCATGCAGAGTCCCGGATGGCGGGCTGGGAACCCAGCCAAGCACTCCCTCCCCATTCTCCCCCCGCCCTCGCAAGAAAGCTCCAGCTCCCTCCGACTGGGGCTGGCCTGGGGCTCCTAGGACCCAGGGCGGGGCAACAGCGCCGTTTGTTGGCTTCGGTTGGAAACTTCACCCAGAAGCGCCCCTTCCCGCCCTCCGGGGCTTCGAGGTCTCCCCAACCCTCCAAGGAGAGGCAGCCGGCTTCGCCGCGGGGCCGAAGCGGCGCTCATCCTTAGAGGGCCGGTTATGGCAAAACTCGGGGACCCCAGGCTTTAGCCTGGTTGGCCCGGCTGGCTCCGGGTGACTAGGGCGCTCCCACTCCGCCTTCCTCCAGATTCGAGCCGTGGAGGAAATCAGGTATCCCAAGGGCCTCATATCTGCAAAGTACGCTTTTAGCAGTTGTGCCCTCGAGCGCCTGGGAGAGAGAGCAGATCAGGAGAGGGGCTATCCCATCGCTCTAGCGGGGGTGCCCGTGTGAGCCTCCTCAGCAACTGCTCATGGGGAGCCTTTTTCGGGGTTTCCGGCTGGATCAGGATCCAGTCTCTTAGAAGACGTGCTGTTTGCGTGCTGGGTGGGATCAGGTGGGTGCGCGTCGGTGCCGCTCCCTGGGGGGGCTGAGGCCTGACAATAGGGTCGAATGTTCGCCTTTTTCAAGTGCAGCGGAGCCCAGCAAGCGGTCTCGCTTTGAGGAAGTGCGAAAAACTTACCCTGACGACCCTCAGAAACGCTTTACTTTCCAGCAGAAAAAAAGTTTGCTTACCTAGAGGCAGTAATTCCTATTTCTTCCTGAGGACATCTCTTGACTATTTGCTGTGGCTGCAAGCCAAGATTGTATATTTAGGCCACAGATTTAGGTCCTTGATCAAGAAATCAAAGGCTTGGGTCTGTTGTGGAACCATCTCTTGTAAAAGGTCGGAAAGGTCACCAGCAGGCCAACCGGGTGGAAAAGACAGCACCTTCTAGTTCTCGGAGCATTCAGTTTGATCTCCCTCCCGCAGTCCGCGGCACCGCACCGCGCCGCCCCGCCCCCCGCAGCTTCCAATGAAACACTAGTTCATACAGGTCTGGGAAGGAGCTGAAGATCCTAGGCTGGTGAATACAGGTTGCAAACAATAACCGAACTGATGCTCTCTAAAGAAATGTCCCTAGTGGCTACGGAAGTGTGTGGTGACATGGTCCTCGAGGTACCAAAAAGTCTCCTGTGGGCGGTACAACTGTATTTTGTTGCACTTTGGCGTAGCTCTTTTCTGGAGGGAGGGTGTGCTTTTAAAAGCGAGTTTCCAAATTCGATTCACTTGGTTAGCTGAGCTGTACTTGGTAGATATGCTGGGAATCCCCTTGGCCCACACCTTGACGCTCGGTAGCAAAGATTACTTTCACACGCGAGGTATTAAGATATTGATGACCAGCTCTCTTTTCCCTAGGTACGGAGCAACTACCAGGAATTTGACAACCTAAGCCTTCAGCGTCCTCTCGCTGACCTCATAACCTGAACACTGCCTAACACAGCCCAACGCTGCTGCCATCTCCCCGGAGGAAGGAAGGCTCTGCCCGGGAACTGGGTCCCATTTCCGGAGGGTCTTCCAGGTCACGGCCACCGACCTCTTTCTCTCTCTCCCTCCCCTCCTGCCCACGACTCTCCGCATGCTCTCAACTCTTCCAGGTGCCAAACCTGTACCCCTGCAGAGCAGCATCCCGGAACCCCGCACCCTACAGCCAGGCCTGCCCTCCCACTAGGCCTGTCGCCTTTTCCACTTCCTTCTATGGCTGCAAAGGCACGGCCGTCTACAGCCGCAAGGTGGCCTGCCAGAAGCCCGGGCCCGGAAAACAATCTAAAAATCGTTATCAGTACCTAATGATGTTTGAGTTACTCCACGTCCCCACAAGTCCACACGCTTATTCAGACAGCAGGGGACACGGACCCACCAGGCCTGTCAGTGCTCCCCAGGGAAGAGTGCCTGTATAATCACTAGAGCTCCTCTGCACCTCCAGAGTAACCGGGCAAAACCATCGGCCCCAACTGCAGGGGGCGCAGGATGGCAGGCTTGGGGCTGGGGAGAGGATCCTGGAGAAAATTTTAAAACTCAAGGCAACATCCAGGTGTTCTTTATGCCTCTCTTTTCTTTTTTGCTACTTCTCTCTTTTTCTTTTAAGAGACTGGAGAGCCATGGAATTCGATGCGCGGAATTTCTATGTTCTCTTCGCCTCTCTTTTTGGTCGTCATTTCACCAAACCTTTGTGGTACACCCTACTATGTGCGGTGTTGTGCGCCAGGCACGGGAGGAGACCCCGCCCTTTCCCATTCAGCAGCAGAAGGGGGC